CTACGGGTTGTTTTTTTGGGGGGGGGGGAAAAAGTGTTAATTTGCTTTTTCTTGGTCAAAAATTCAAATTTTTTAATTTTTTTTTTCTTTTTTTGGGGGGGTTATTTATTAATTTGTTTGGGTTTTTATGTATTTTTGGATTTTTTGGGGGGTGGAGCCCCCACATTTTGGGCAGGAGTTGGACACTTTGGGCAAGCACCAAATTTTGGGGGTTTATTTCCTTCCCCTCGCTCAATAATCCAATTTTTAAATTTTTTTTTATTTTTTGGGGGGGTTATTTATTAATTTGTTTGGGTTTTTATGTATTTTTGGATTTTTTGGGGGGTGGAGCCCCCAGATTTTGGGCAGGAGTTGGACACTTTGGGCAAGCACCAAATTTTGGGGGTTTATTCCCTTCCCCTCACTCAATATTTCAATTTTTAAATTTTTTTTTTAATTTTTTGGGGGGGTTATTTATTAATTTGTTTGGGTTTTTATGTGTTTTTGGATTTTTTTGGGGGGTGGAGCCCCCAGATTTTGGACGGGGGGGGTTGGACTTTGGGCAAGCACCAAATTTTGGGGGTTTATTCCCTTCCCCTCACTCAATATTTCAATTTTTAAATTTTTTTTTTAATTTTTTGGGGGGGTTATTTATTAATTTGTTTGGGTTTTTATGTATTTTTGTATTTTTGCCCCAGATTTTGGGCAGGGGATGGGTTTGAGCGAGCGCCGAATTTTTGGTGGGGGGAGTTTATTTCCTTTTTCTTGCTCAATAATTCAAATTTTTAAAAATTATTATTTTTGGGGGGGGTTATTTATTAATTTGTTTGGGTTTTTATGTATTTTTGTATTTTTGCCCCAGATTTTGGGCAGGGGATGGGTTTGAGCGAGCGCCGAATTTTTGGTGGGGGGAGTTTATTTCCTTTTTCTTGCTCAATAATTCAAATTTTTAAAAATTATTATTTTTGGGGGGGGTTATTTATTAATTTGTTTGGGTTTTTATGTATTTTTGTATTTTTGCCCCAGATTTTGGGCAGGGGATGGGTTTGAGCGAGCGCCGAATTTTTGGTGGGGGGAGTTTATTTCCTTTTTCTTGCTCAATAATTCAAATTTTTAAAAATTATTATTTTTTGGGGGGGTATTTATTAATTTGTTTGGGTTTTTATGTATTTTTGTATTTTTTGCCCCAGATTTTGGGCAGATTTTTGGACAAGTTCGAGCGAGCGCTGAATTTTTGGTGGGGGGAGTTTATTTCCTTCTTCTTGCTCAATAATTCAATTTTTAAATTTTTTTTTTATTTTTTGGGGGGGTTATTTATTAATTTGTTTGGGTTTTTATGTATTCGTTTATGTATTTATTTATTAATTTGTTTATGTATTTATTTAAATTTTGGGGGGGTGGAGCCCCCAGATTTTGGGCAGGGGCCGAGTTCGAGTTGTATTTTTGGATTTTTTGGGGGGTGGAGCCCCCACATTTTGGGCAGGAGTTGGACACTTTGGGCAAGCACCAAATTTTGGGGGTTTATTTCCTTCCCCTCGCTCAATAATCCAATTTTTAAATTTTTTTTTATTTTTTGGGGGGGTTATTTATTAATTTGTTTGTTTATGCATTTATTTATTAATTTATTTATGTATTTATTTATTTTTTGGGGGGGTGGAGCCCCCAGATTTTGGGCAGGAGTTGGACACTTTGGGCAAGCACCAAATTTTGGGGGTTTATTTCCTTCCCCTCACTCAATAATTCAATTTTTAATTTTTTTTTTTTATTTTTTTTGGGGGGGTTATTTATTAATTTATTCGTTTATGTATTTATTTATTAATTTGTTTATGTATTTATTTAATTTTGGGGGGGGTGGAGCCCCCAGATTTTGAGGAGGGAGGGGGTGATTCAGGCAGCGCCCAAACTCCGTCGGGATGAAATTTTGGGGCTGGATTTTGGTAATTTTTTTGGGGAGAAAAGCCCCCAAATTGGGGGTCATGATTTGAGGGGGGGGACACAAAATTGAAGCTCCACCGGGATGAAATTTGGGGGGAAAAGACCCTAAAAAAGCCCCCCCCCCCCAA